CGTGAGAAGATGGAGGCAGAGCCTGGGGAGATGCCGGGAGTGAGGAGGGGGTGGGGGAGTACTGGGAGCCGCCAGGAGCTGGAGGCGCAGGAAGGACACTCCCCTGGAGCCTTCAGGGGAACATGTCCCAGCAGACACCTTGGTCTCAGCCTTCTGGCCTCCAGAGCTGTGAGAGAATAAACTGCTGTCATTCTAAGCCAGCCAGTTAGTGATTAGGACCCACAGGAAAGGGGCGTGTTCCCTGTACATTGCATAGTATATATATTTTTATTTTGGGAGGCAGGGTCTTGCTCTGTTGCCTAGGCTGGAGTGCAGCGGTGTGATCTCAGCGCACTGCAGCCTGCAGCTCCTGATCTAAAGCGATCCTCCTGCCTCCACCCACACCCTGTCCCACCCAGTAGCTGGAACTACAGGCAGGCACCACCACACTTGGCTACATTTTGTATTTTTTTGTAGAGACAGGGTTTTGCCATGTTGTCCAGGCCAATACATATTTTCCAGCACAGAAACAAACTTTGGTGATCGAGATAGGATAGGTCACACACACCCTTGGACCTATCCGTTCTCATCAGGTTGAGCCTAGAGTTGAAACACCAAGGCTGGGCCAGCCGTGGTGGCTCACACCTGTAATCCCAGCACTTTGGGAGGCCAAGGTGGGCAAATCACAAGGTCAGGAGATCAAGACTATCGTGGTTAACATGGTGAAACACTGTGTCTACTAAAAATACAAAAAATTAGCCAGGCGTGGTGACACCCACCTGTTATCCTAGCTACTTAGGAGGCTGAGGCAGGAGAATCGCTTGAATCTGGGAGGTGGAGATTGCAGTCAGCAGAGATTTCGCCACTGCACTCCAGCCTGGGTGACAGAGCAAGACTCCATCTCAAAAAAAAAAAAAAAAAAGACCAAAGCTGAAAACACAGAGGACCCAGAAACATGGAATTTTCTACATTCTAGACAACAAAACACAAGTGGGACGACCTCAGGACAGGACGTAGATACACATGATGCTGCGTGGAGTGGACAGATGTTGGTCTGTCTTTATCATGCGGCATCATCGTGCAGCTTCTGTTGCTAACCTGGGCCCAGGGAGCGATTCACAGCTGTTTCTGCAGTCACACCCTCCAGGCACTGAGTGCAGGGCAGATACAACCGACAAAAAACGCTGCTGTTAGGAGCTGATGTGAGTGGGCAATGTGTAAGACTGGGAAACAGATGCATTCCCCAAATTCACATCAGACGCTTTTCTAAAGTGGCGGGAGGGAGAGAGTCTCGCTCTATTGCCCAGGCTGGAGTGCAGTGGCCCCATCTCAGCTCACTGCAACCTCTGCCTCCCAGGTCCAAGTGATTCTCCTGCCTCAGCCTCCTGAGTAGCTGGGATTACAGGTGTCCACCCAACGCCCGGCTAATTTTTGTATTTTTAGTAGAGATGGGGTTTCATCATGTTGGCCAGGCTGGTCTCAAACTCCTGACCTCAAGTGGTCTGCCCCCCTCGGCCTCCCAAAGTGTTGGGATTGCAGGTGTGAGCCACTGTGCGCCTAGCCCCATTAGATTCGTTTTGCTTTTTTTTTTTTTTTTTTTTTTGAGATGGAGTTCTGCTCTTGTCACCCAGGCTGGAGTGCAGTGGATCTCAGCTCACCGCAACCTCCACCTTCTAGGTTCAAACAATTCTCCTGCCTCAGCCTCCTGAGTAGCTGGGATTACAGGTGCCCACCATCACGTCCAGCTAATTTTTGTATTTTAGTAGAGATGGGGTTTCACCATATTGGCTAGGCTGGTCTTGAACTCCTGATCTCAGGTAATCCACACGTGTCGGCCTCTCAAAGTGCTGAGATTACAGGTGTTAGCCACCGTGCCTGACCCACTCTTTTTACTTTTACAAGTTTTAAAGGTTTTTATACTGAAATAATTTTAGGTTGCAAAAGTAATACAGAGCTCCTATAAACTTTCCATCCAGTTTCCCCAAATGTTACTTTTTTTTTTTTTTTAAGATGGGGTTTCACCATATTGGTCAGGCTGGTCTCAAACTCCTGACCTCGGGTGATCCGCCCACCTCAGCCTCCCAAAGTGCTGGGATTACAGGCATGAGCCACCACGCCCGGCCCACTTTTTTTTTTTTTTTTTTAATTTATTTTGAGACGGAGTTTTGTTCTTGTTGCCCAGGATGCAGTGTAATGGCATGATCTTGGCTCACTGCAGCCTCTGCTTTCTGGGGTCAAGCATTTCTCTTGCCTCAGCCTCCCAAGTAACCGGGATCACAGGCGCCCACCACCACACCTGGATAATTTTTGTATTTTTAGTAGAAATGGGGTTTCGCCATGTTGGCCAGGCTGGTCTCGAACTCCTGACCTCAGGTGATCCACCTGCCTCAGCCTCCCAAAGTGCTGGGATTACAGGCGTGAGCCCCCACCCCCTGCTCCCAAATGTTAACATGTTACACACGCACAGTACAGACACAATAGCATGAATTCATCCATAGGGGTGGCCCCTCTTTCACTGCTGTCCCCCCATATTCCATGTTGTCAACTGTAGTCTCAGACAGTTGCTCTGTCTCTGCTTTCACATTCTTGACACTTGTAGAGTATCAATCAATTAGTATTATTATTTTTGAGACAAGGTTTTGCTGTGTCGCCCAGGCTGGAGGGCAGTGGTGTGATCTCGACTCACGGCAGCCTCCCATGCTTGGGTGATCCTCCCATCTCAGCCTCCCAAGTGCCTGGGACTACAGACGCCACCTTGCCTGGCTAATTTTTTGTATTTTTTGTAGAGACAGGGTCTTGCCAGTCTCCAATTCCTGGGCTCAAGTGATTTGCCTACCTTGGCCTCCCAAAGTGTTGGGATTACAGGTGTGAACCACTGCGCCTGCAGGCCTGGTCGTGTTTTGAAAACATATGCTGATGCATTTACTTATTTTGGTGAGATTTTGTGTCAGAAGTTCATGACGTGTGTACGAGAATTACTCTTTTCTTTATGCTTGGTCGTCTTCCTTTTCATGCTTTGGGTTTTCCACAGCATGAAGCTCTAAAACGTGCTTACGTTATCACCTGGCGTCACCACTACACTGAGTCTGTGAGCTCCAGGCCACGTTACTTCATTACTAAAAGAACTAATTCTGATTCTAGGCCAGGCGGGTGGCTCATGCCTGTAATCCAGCACTTGGGGAAACCAATGAGGGAGGATCACCTGAGGTCAGGAGTTTGAGACCAGCCTGGCCAACATGGTGAAACCTGGTCTCTACTAAAAATACAAAATTTAGTTGGCATTGATGGCGCATACCTGTACTCCCAGCTACTCTGGAGGCTGAGGCCAGAGAATCACTTAAACCTGGGAGGCGGAGGTTGCAGTGAGCTGAGATCACACCATTGTACTCCAGCCTGGGTGACAAGATCGAAACTCTGTTTCGAAAAAAAAAAACTAATTCAAATTCTGAAGCCAGTTGCTAAAATGTTTCCCAACTTTTTTTTTTTTTTTTTTTTTTTGAGACAGAGTCTCAAAGTCTCTCACCAGGCTGAAGTGCAATGGTATGATCTTGGCTCACTGCAACCTCCACTTCCTGGGTTCAAGCAATTGTCCTGCCTCAGCCTCCCGAGGAGCTGGGATTACAGGTGCCCACCACCATGCCTGGCTAATTTTTGTATTTTTGGTAGAGATGGGGTTTCGTCAAGTTGACCAGGATGGTCTCGATCTTTTTACCTCGCGAGCCTTCCACCTCAGCCTCCCAAAGTGCTGGTTTGCAATTTTGAATTTCCAAAATGGAGTACCATGCCTGATACCTCTGTCAGTTTCACGGAGCGTGTGAAGTGGTAGTTACCTGGAGGACCGGCACAGCCACTCGGCCTCCCAAAGTGCTGGGATTACAGGTGCCCATCACTGCCCCTGACCCTCTAATTGTTGTATTTTTAGTAGAGACGGGGTTTCACCGTGTTGGCCAGGCTGGTCTCCAACTCCTGATCTCAGGTGATCCGCCCATCTCGGCCTCCCCAAGTGCTGGGATTACAGGCGTGAGCAACTGTGCCCGGCCTTCCAACTCTTTATGAAGAATTTCAAACGTAGAAACAGGAGAGAGGTCACTGGAGACCTGTATTCCGGCCTCCAGACGGCACAGCTGTTAAGTTTGCCGCGGTTGATTCCTGCATCCACACATGTGCGCGTCATTTACTTTGTTGCAGAATCAATTTCCAGACATCATGACACGTCACCTTTACCAAAGAGTTCAGCAGTTATTTCTAAAAATAAAGAACATTTTTTTTCTTTCTTTCTTTCTTTCTTTTTTTTTGAGATGGAGTTTCGCTCTTGTTACCCAGGCTAGAGTGCAATGGCGCGATCTCAGCTCACCGCAACCTCCACCTCCTGGGTTCAGACAATTCTCCTGCCTCAGCCTCCTGAGTAGCTGGGATTACAGGCATGCGCCACCACGGCCAGCTAATTTTTTGTATTTTTAGTAGAGACGGGGTTTCACCATGTTGACCAGGATGGTCTCGATCTCTTGACCTCGTGATCCACCCTCCTCGGCCTCCCAAAGTGCTGGGATTACAGGCGTGAGCCGCCGCGCCCGGCCATAAAGAACATTTTTCTACATCAGAGGATGGCAAACGATGGTCCTAGGCCAAATCCAGCCACCCACATTTTAAAAATAAAGTTTCGAGCCGAGAGCGGTGGCGCCTGGTCCAAGTTCCTGTGGAGGCTGCGGTGGGAGGATCCCTTGAGCCCGGGAGGCCGAGGCTGCAGTGAGCCGAGATCGCACCACTGCACTCCAGTCGGGGCGACAGAGCGAGACCCGGTCTCAGGAAAAAAATACAAGTGGGCTTATAAATAAAATGAGATGAAAAGACAAGAGAGCATTGACTGCCTCCTGACCCCGATCAACCGCAGGCCCCCGCGATAGTTCCGCGCATGCGCACCGGCAGGGAGCGCGTGCCCTCTCTGCCGCCTTCCGCCTCTGGGGTCTGCAGTTGCGCAGCTCGGCTACTGCGCGGCGGTGGCGTGCGCCTAGGCAGTGTCGCGGGAATGTGACGTCACGCCGCGCGCCAGGCCAGGAGGAGGCGGGCGCAGGCGGCGTGTGTTCAGTGTGCTGGGCCGGCGACTGAGAGACAGGGCCTGTTGGCCGCCAGCGTCATGGTTTCGCGCGTGCAGCTGCCGCCTGAGATCCAGCTGGCTCAGCGCCTGGCGGGGAACGAGCAGGTGACCCGAGACCGGGCGGTGAGGAAGCTCCGGAAATACATCGTCGCCAGGACTCAGCGGGCCGCAGGTTGGCATGGCTGTGGGCGGCGGGCGTCTCGCGGGCCGGCTGGGGCTGTTGCGGGTGCCAGCGGCGGCGGTCGGGGCTGGGGGCCCTCCGAGCTTTGTGGAACACCCACGTGGCCGGGCCGGGTAGGCGGGGCCCACGGGCCTGTTCCCGCTGCTGCCGGCTCTCGGCCTGCCCCCGGTCCCCGGCCCCCGCGGCCGCTTTCCCTCAGTGCGGTGACTTCCGGTCCGTCTGCGAGGACGCTCCTCCCCAGCCCCCTGGCTGCTTTCCTAGCTCAGACGTCCCTCCCTCCAGTAGACCAGGCGCTCCTGCTGCCTTGCTGTTTGGGCACATGGAAGCATTTCTCCCTGTGTGCAGTGTGTGTAGGTGGTACCCGTGTTCTCCGAGCGTGGCCCCCATCAGCAGTAGCATCCCCTGGACATTTGTAAGAAATGCACATTCTGTGCTGGGCGCCGTGGCCCAAGCCTGTAATCCCAGCTACTTGCGTTGCTGAGGCGGGAGGATCACAAGAGCCCAGCAGTCCACTCTGGCAACATAGCAAGACCCCATTTCCATTAAAAAAGAGAAGAAAGAGATGCAAGTTCTAGGGTCCCAGCCCTTCGAGATCAGGACCCGCAGTCTGCTTTAGGAACCTGTTCAGGTGCTTCTGCTGCCCACACTCAGCCTGAGAACCCCTGCTCCAGGAACAGGTGGCCACACACACAGGGCTTAAATGAATGTCAACTGAGTCATGTTTCACATTTTTAAAGAATTATTTTTCTGAGTAAGACCTCACTCTGTCATGCAGGGTCACGGCTCACTGCAGCCTCTACCTCCCAGGCTCAAGTGAGCCTCCCATCTCAGCCTCCCCAGTGGCTGGGACTGCAGGTGCCGTGCCACCACGACCAGCTGACTCTTGTATTTTTTATACAAATTGGGGTCTTCCTATGTTGTCCAAGCTGGTCTTGAACTCCTGACCTCAAGTGATCCTGCCTCAGCACTCAATTCCAAAGTGCTGGGATCACAGGCATGAGCCACCGCACCTGGCCTGAGTAATTTTATATCTGTTTTCCTTGCTAGTCTGAATGCCTGAGTTAATTTTCTTCTTTTAACATTTGAGATATGTTACAAAAAAGTGCAGAAACCATCAGTGTAATGCTGGATGAATTATTGCCAACAGATTAACCTGTGTGGCCACTGTCCAGCTTAGGAAACGGTCGAGGTTCGCAATTTTGAATTTCCAAAATGGAGTACCTTGCCTGATAGCTTGTAGATTCTTAGTCAGTTTCACTGAGCGCATGAAGTGACAGTTACCTGGAGGAGCCGCACAGCCACGGTCACATCGGGTTTTGGGTTAGAAGGATTGTTTGAAGGGAGGGTCAGATTCTGCCCCCCACTGACTTTACTGTAAGTGGGACTTTGGTCTCATTCAGACAGTCACATTTCTGTGACCTTTTCTGGCACTCAAATGTTGCTGCTTTGATGCAGATGGTTTTACTCATGACGAGCTGCTGAAAGTGTGGAAGGGACTGTTCTATTGCATGTGGATGCAGGACAAGCCGCTCCTCCAGGTGAGTGGGGTGAGCAGCAGAGGAGGGTGCAGAAGCAGCAGGGGAGGGTGGATTGGCATCTCCTCCACCCGGTTCTAATATGGCCGAAGTCCCTGGGAGAGGTCGTGTAGCCTTGATGCTCGGTTCTGCATGGCTGGTGGGTGTGGGCCTTTGGTTAGAGTAAGTCATGCACTTGCTGAAGACGTGACTGAGCTGTGCACTGCAGCAGCGCTGGCTCCGGGGCACGTGACTGAGCTGTGCACTGCAGCGGCCCTGGCTGCGGGGGGGGGGGGGGGGGGGGGGGGGGGAGTGACTGAGCTGTGCACTGCAGCGGCGCTGGCTCCAGGGCACGTGACTGAGCTGTGCACTGCAGCGGCGCTGGCTCCAGGGCACGTGACTGAGCTGTTCAGTGCAGCGGGGCTGGCTGCGGGGGACGTGACTGAGCTGTGCACTGCAGCGGCGCTGGCTGTGGGGGACGTGACTGAGCTGTTCAGTGCAGCGGGGCTGGCTGCGGGGGACGTGACTGAGCTGTGCACTGCAGCGGCGCTGGCTGCGGGGGACGTGACTGAGCTGTGCACTGCAGCGGTGCTGGCTCGGGGGGGACGTGACTGAGCTGTGCACTGCAGCGGCGCTGGCTCCAGGGCACGTGGCTGAGCTGTGCACTGCAGCGGCGCTGGCTCCGGGGGGACGTGACTGAGCTGTGCACTGCAGCGGCGCTGGCTCCAGGGCACGTGGCTGAGCTGTGCACTGCAGCGGAGCTGGCTGCGGGGGACGTGACTGAGCTGTTCAGTGCAGCGGCTCTGGCTGCGGGGGACGTGACTGAGCTGTGCACTGCAGCAGCGCTGGCTCCAGCAGGTCGAAACTGGGTTTTGTGTCCTGGGTTGCAAACAAGCTCTGAAATAGTGGAAGCCAATGGGCTGAATCAAGTCTCCTGAGACATGCACTTCTCCCAATAGCTTTTTCCAAACGTTGGTTCTCAAACTGTGAATTTTGTGGTCTCCTTCAAAAATCGCCTGGGTGGTGAGGGTACTTAGTTAAATTCAGATTCCTGGGCCGTATTCCGTGCCCATTGCGTTATCAAGGGGGGCTGTGAAATGTCTCCTAGCGAGTGCTCTGGGTGACGCATGTTATGGTGATGCAGGCAGATGGCGAGTGATCTCTGGGGTTGGGGGCTGCGAGTCCCAAGGCTCCCTTCTGCTCTCCCACGTCCCTCCTTGACCATGACTCTCTATTGCTTAGGGCACAGCCCCCGTTAGGAGGGCAGTGCCTGCCGTGGCCGTGTGAGAGGCTGTTAACCCCAGCTGTAGAGGGGGTCTTTTACAGCAGAGGTGAAACCTCCAGTCCACTGAGCTGAGATCCCCTGGAAGCTGACTCTGTGATGAGTGAGTGAGTGAGTGGGTGGGTGGTTGTGTGGTTGTGTGTTTGTTATTGTGAGCTTCAGGGCTGAGGGGGTTTTTGTTCTTTCCTGCACAGGAAGAATTAGGAAGGACCATTTCCCAGCTCATTCATGCTTTTCAGACCACGGAGGCACGTGAGTATGCTCTGCCATGGTTGGCTACATTTGTAGATGTCAGAACCTCAGAACACCACAGACACCTCAGAGCCACCAGACGCAGGAGGTTTGTGTTCTCAGATTCAAAGCAAGGAACACCTTAGGGCAAGAGGGCGCCAGCTGGTGCCCGCGGTCTTGGCGGGTGTGGGACTCTGGTGTCCGCAGGCTTGGCGGGTGTGGGACTCTGGTGTCCGCGGGCTTGGCGGGTGTGGGACTCTGGTGTCCGCGGGCTTGGCGGGTGTGGGACTCTGGTGTCCGCGGGCTTGGCGGGTGTGGGACTCTGGTGTCCGCGGGCTTGGCGGGTGTGGGACGCTGGTGCCCGCGGTCTTGGCGGGTGTGGGACTCTGGTGTCCGCGGGCTTGGCGGGTGTGGGACTCTTGTGTCCGCGGGCTTGGCGGGTGTGGGACGCTGGTGCCCGCGGGCTTGGCGGGTGTGGGACGCTGGTGTCTGCGGGTGCTTGTGTGTGACGCTGGTGCATGCGGGTGCATATGTAAAGAAGGGGTTCCTGCATGTTCTCGCCTCACTCCCCAGAGTGCTTTGCGCTCCTCAGTGGTTCTCTTCCGGCTTCTTCCTCCTCCAGAGCACCTGTTCCTGCAGGCTTTCTGGCAGACCATGAACCGCGAGTGGACCGGCATCGACAGGCTGCGCCTGGACAAGTTCTACATGGTGAGGCAGCCGCCAGGGCGCGGGGCTGGGGCAGCTGAGGGCAGCTGGGGGCAGAGACAGGCCGCGCCTGGGTGCATTGTACATGGTGAGGCAGCCGCCAGGGCACCGGGGGTGGCCTCCCATGCCTGCAAGAGCAGTGTCGTGGCTGCTGGGCTGTTCTCTGTCATCGGGGGTCCCGGGGGTCTGCATGTCCTCTGCTCCTATTGACTGGGGCTCAGACCCCTCTGTGGGCGTATGGCCATGCTGACCAGTAGCCTAAAGCAGGGACAGCTGCAATGGGTATTGAGCCTCACGGAGGGGCAGTGGCATTGTGGGGCAGACCGGAGCTGTATTCAGGGGTGAGGCTTGGCGTTCGTCTGTCAGCAGCTCTGGGGGCCAGCGGTGTGCTTGGGGATGGCAGAGGTGACCCCGGCCGTGGCCTCATACTCCAGCAGCTCCTGGTACGTGGGGAAGGGTAGTCTGGTGAAGTCGGCCTGGGCTTCTGCTAACACGAGCCTCCTTCTGTGTCAAAGCTCATGCGGATGGTCCTGAACGAGTCCTTGAAGGTTCTAAAGATGCGAGGCTGGGAAGAAAGGTGGGTGCACGGCGGGCCTGCCCTCGGGGGACACTTCTCGGGGACGCAGTCGTGTGTTTGTCTTTTGATTCTTTGTCATAAGGAGATGTCAGCCTTTCCCTTGAAGCATGCCCAGTGGTGCTTAGAGCGAAGACATTTCTTAAAATAAAGATGAGTCTGTGTGTTTGTGGAAATGATGCCGCTTACCCCCAGGCTGGAAGGTCACGTTCTCACTGGGAGTCAGAAGCTAGTCCTCTCAGAAAGGGTGTCCAGCTGAGGAGCTTCTTAGAGAAACACGCAGGCTCAGCTCTGTTAGCTGTGCTTAACTGTGTTAACTGTCGCCTGGTCCTGAGTGCAGGGGTGCGATCTCGGCTCACTGCAACCTTGACCTCCTGGCTCCAGTGATCCTCCTGCCTCAGCCTCCCAAGTGGCTGGGACTGCAGATGTGCACCACAGTCCCACATAGTTTTTGTGTCTTTTTTGGTGGAGACGAATTCTGTCCTGTTGCCCAGGCTGGTCTCAAACTCCTGGGCTCAAGCAGTCTGTCTTCTAGTCCTCCCAAGTTGTAAGCAGTGTTAATTGCTCCTAATTGTAAAACTATGTAACTTGTCCCAGCTTTTCACTTTCAGCAGCAGCGCCTGAGGTGGGGTGGTCTGGGCCCTGCGTGTTCTAACTGTGGGCACCTGCGGGGGCAGACTCCCATCCCCGCAGTGTTGCCGCTTCTGCCTCTGCCTGCCCCCAGCCCCTGCTCCCAGAGACCGAGGGGCGTAGGTAGGGATCTGACCCCTGCTGCCAGTCTGCCACACCCAAGCTTCTTCATCCAAGTTAGGGGCAGCATTTTCTAAACCTTCAGGGGCAGGCTGAGTTTTACAGTACAAAATGAGTTTCTAAGTGTTTTTTTTTTTGAGACAGAGTTTCGCTCTTGTTACCCAGGCTGGAGTGTAGTGGCGCAATGTCGGCTCACCACAACCTCTGCCTCCTGGGTTCAAGCAGTTCTCCTGCCTCAGCCTCCCGAGTAGCTGGGTTTACAGGCATGCGCCACCATGCCCGGCTAATTTTGTGTTTTTAGTAGGGATGGGGTTTCTCCTTGTTGGCCACGCTGTTCTCAAACTCCAGACCTCAGGTGATCCGCCTGCCTCGGCCTCCCAGAGGCCACCGCACCTGGCTGCACAGCCTTCTTTTCCTCTTCCCTTATAAAAAATTATCAGGGCCAGGTGTGGTGACTCACACCTTTAATTCCTTGTCACAAGTAGCTGGGTCTGGTGATGTGCACCTGGAGTCCCAGCTGCTTGGGAGGCTGAGGTGGAGGATCACTTGAACCCAGAGGTGGAGTCTGCAGCTTAGTTAAGATGATGCCACAGCACTCATCCTGATAGCTGATAAAAAATAAAAACATAAAAAAATTAGCAAGGCCGGGCGTGGTGGTTCACACCTGTAATCCTAGCACTCTGGGAGGCTGAGGCTGGCAGATCACGAGGTCAGCAGATTGAGATGATCCTGGCTAACATGGTGAAATCCTGTCTTCACTAAAAATACAGAAAAAAAGAATGAGCAGGCTGGTTATGGTGGGGAAGGGGATCCCTTGAACCCAGGAATTTGAGGCTGCAGTCATCCACGACTGACCCACTGCGCTGGCCTAGGTGATAAGAGTGAGATTCTATTTTTTTGGGTTTGTATTTTTTTCTGAGATGGAGTCTTGCTCTGTCATCAGAATGGAGTACAGCAGTGTGATCTCTGCTCACTGCAACCTCCGCCTCCCAGATTCAAGCAATTCTTCTGCCTCAGCCTCCCGAGTAGCTGGGATTACAGACACCTGTCACGACGTCCAGCTAATTTTCGTATTTTTAGTAGAGATGGGGTTTCACCATGTTGGCCAGGATAGTCTCAATCTCTTGGCCTCGTGATCCGCCTGCCTCGGCCTCCCAAAGTGCTGGGATTACAGGCGTGAGCTACCGCACCAATCAAGATTCTTTTTTTTTTTTTTGAGACAGAGTTTTGCTCTTGTTACCCAGGCTGGAGTGCAGTGGCACAATCTCGGCTCACCGAAACCTCCGCCTCCTGGGTTCAGGCAGTTCTCCTGCCTCATCCTCCTGAGTAGCTGGTATTACAGGTGGGCACCACCATGCCCAGCTAATGTTTTGTATTTTTAGTAGAGACGGGGTTTCACCATGTTGACTAGGAAGGTCTCGGTCTCTTGACCTCATGATCCACCCGCCTCGGCCTCCCAAAGTGCTGGGATTACAGGTGTGAGCCACCGTGCCCAGCCGAGATTGTTTCTTAAAATAAAATAAAATTTAAAAAAGAATCAAAGAAAAATTATAAATAAATAAAAATAAAAATAAACATTAAAAAAAAGGATCAGCAGGAGTTGGCTTGTGCTTGCCCGAGTTTCTGTAGGTTGGAGCGTCTGTGGGTGATTGCGCATTTAGGGCAGTGGTGCCTCTGGTTTGGGGGATTTCCACGCTTGAGTTCCCTGGCAGGACTGTGACGCCCTGAGCCTTTCTCTCATTCTAGGACTGCGTGTTGTGGGTGACCCCGTGGGGGCTCGTGACTTAGGCGGAATTAACTGTTAAAGGGATGATTTTACTGTTTTTTGGTTTCTTACTGGAAGAGTGCTGTCCTCACTGTCGCTGAGAACTCAGTTCAGGAATCATTTGGGAGACGTTGGTGCCTTGCCCTGTGCCTGGGGTCCCGGTGCTGGCAGTGGCGTCCACGCTTCCCACCCTCTCGGATCTCCTGCAGCTGTCACTGGGCTGTCACTAGTGCCTATGGCGTCGTCCCCGCCTGGGAAGTTGGGCCCTTGTGTCTCTGTGTCTTCCTCTTGGTCTCGGCAGCTTTCCTGAGCCTTAGAGAGCGTCACGGGTGATTCTCAGGCCTCGCTGTGGAGCTTCCTGAGGGTCACACGGTTAACAAATCCAAATTTGGCATCTGCATTATTGAGCACCCCAGGAGGTCCAGAAGCATCTAGATGGTAAAGATTGTTCCCTGGGGCCGTCTGGTCTTCGGATCCATGCCAGGGAGAACTTTGGTGGATGTCACGGATGGAATGCCCCGTGCGGCAGGGCCCAGGAAGCCAGCAGGTGCCTCTTGATCCTCGGCCCCTTTCTGGGCCTCCAGCTTTCTCTGCCCGTGCTGTCCTGACCCGTCTTCCCCTGCGGTTCCAGTGGGGACAGCAGAGGAGAACACCAGGCAGGGTTGCGTCTCAGCCAAGCCTTTCCCACTGCTAGCCATCTTGAGGACAGAGGAAAGGCCTGTCTGAATGTTGACACCTGCTGCATGTTGTAGCTGAGATGCAGACTCAGGCGGTACGTTCTGGTGCTGGTGATGCTCACCTGACTCCCTAATTGCAAGACCCAGGATCATTGATGTCACCTGCGTGGACGTGCAGATGGTGGCGCCTGCCCGCACTTCCGTTCCCACTGGAGCGGATAACCGCGGAGCCTGAGGCACGCTGGCTTGGGGCTCGGCCAGGCTGCCTGTCGTATTTGCTTTTTCTTCCCTCAGACAGATCGAGCAGCTGCTGGAGCTACTGACCACTGAGATCCTGCACCCCAGCAGCCAGGCCCCCCACGGGGTCAAGAGCCACTTCATCGAGATCTTCCTGGAGGAGCTGACCAGAGTGGGCGCCGAGGAGGTGAGGCTGGACTCTGACGGGGCGGCGGAGCTGGGTGTTTGTGGAGGACGAGCTGAGCTCCCACTGGCTTTGCCCGCAGCTCACGGCAGACCAGAACCTGAAATTCATCGACCCCTTCTGCAGAATTGCCGCCCGGACCAAGGAGTAAGTGCTGGGCAGCCTGCTTGGGCCTGCCTACTTCACTGAGTTCTTCCGTGGGGCTGCCGTTGGGGGGTACCGCTCCCTCCAGGGAGGAATCCGCGTTGCAGAGTGGCCGCTGGCCGTGCGGGTGTAGAGACCGCAGGGGCGTCGGCTGCTTCCGCGTGGGAACCCGGCACGCTGGGCCTGTGCCAGCCTCTGCTCTGCCCCTCAGCTCCCTGGTTTTCAACAACATCACTCGAGGCATCTTTGAAACGATTGTGGAACAGGCCCCGCTTGCCATCGAAGACCTCCTGAATGACCTGGACACGCAGGGTGACGAGGCAGCGTCAGACAGCGATGAGTCCCCGGAGGGCGGTGAGCGCGGAGACACGCTGCCCCGGAAGAGGTCCGAGAGGCCGCCCGCAGGTGGGGACACAGCACGCCTGGCTTCTCCTGGGCGCCGGGCCTGGGCCGAGCCAGTGTGGTCTCCTGCTGGGTTGCCCCAGCCACCTCCTGCCCTCTGCACAGTCCATCCTCAGTGTGGAAGCCAGAGCGGCCTCTGTGACCAGCAAGCACACTGCTCATTTTCTCTGTCAGCCCCCAGCCTCCGGTGTGCTCCGTGCCCTCTGGACCTCTGGGCTCCTCGGTCTAACCCAACAGGCCTCTGGCTCAGTCAGGCCCCTGGGCCCGCTCCTGCCTTGGTGCTGAGTCTCCTGTTCCTCCCACCATCTGTCCCCCATCACTCTCTGGGCCTTTCCTATTCTCCCACGAAGTCCTCCCCTCGCCTCCCGGCCTCCCCCAGCCTCCCATGCAGTCTTCCCCATAGTGTCACCCTGTGGTACAGGGTGTGAAGCACTTGCTTATGTTCCTTGTTCCTGGCCTGTCCCCACAGGACAGTGAGCTGTGTTCATACTGACTGTGGCTGGGTTCAGGCCTGAGACCTCAGGGCATCTGACTGATGTGGGACGAGTGGGTAGACCTGCTCCTCCCTGCCTGCCAGAGGGCACCTGGGGCAGCCATGGAGTCCAGCCTGGTCCGTTTCTGGTTTGATGCTGCACTCCCTGTCCGTGCCTCCTGGGTGGTCTGAGCTCTAAGTGTGGCATCCTGGTGCTGCGGAGGGCATGTCTTTGACCATGCTCAGGACCCCGGTCTAGCCCTGAGTCAGTGCTGTGGCTGCTGTGCCCCCTGGCTTCCTAATCAGAAGACCCCCTCCCCATCACCCCCAGCACTTGGCCTGGCCACTCTGTGCACGTCTCCCTGGTCCCTGCCTTGCCCTTCTGTCAGTAGCCAGGGAGGCGCCCGGCGGGTCCGCCAGTGCCTGCTGCCACCTCCAGAGCAGGCCCTTGTCACATGCTGCCCCACAGCTGCCTGTTGCCGGAAACCTTTCCTCTGCAGACAGTGCCGTTAAAGCCCCAAGTGCCTGGGGCAGCTCGAGCGCCCGACCGAAACCTCGGTGCCCACAGCCTTTGTTGCCCGAGGTGCCAGCTTATGGACAGCCACTTGGGGCTGTATAAGCGCCTCTGCCCCAGGACATCTTTTTTCCTTTCCAGGCCTGAGGTGGCACCTCTTGTCCGATCCATATGAGATGAGAGATCACCGTCCCTTGAGCTGCAGGCTTTCCCGCCTGTGCCCGCACTCTGACAGGCCACATGGAGTGGGCTCTCCGTTCCTGGGTGTTGGGGGCGGTACATGTTCAGTGCGAGTCTTGGAGTTCACGGTGTCCCTTTGGTCCAGGCTCCTGCAAGGCTGAACCTGAGGATGGTGAGGAGCAAGCAGGTGACGACAGGGACAGTGGCGGCCCCGTGCTCCAGGTGGGTGCCCTGAGCTCGCAGTTTCGCCCTCAGCCTTTGCTTCCTATGCGGCCGCCGGCTCTGGAAGAGAAGGGGCTGTTAGGAGGGAGGATGGCAGCCGCCGGCTTGGAGAGTCACCTGCACAGGGGTTAGCTTTGAAGGAGGGATGGGTGCCCCGACCCTGCCCGCCTGCAGGAAGTGGGGTCATTGAGAGGGGGCTGGGTCCTGGGTGGGCGAGCTCAGAGGCAGGCCCACACTGTCCAGGGCTGGCCTCACCTCATGCTGTCCTCTCACCTCACACACGGGCGGCTCCCCAGATTTCCTGCGGCCCCCTCATTGGGGTGCTTGGCTGGAATGAGACGGCGCAGGCCAAGTGGCCAGCTGTGGGTCCCAGTGAGGAGTCCACTCAGCCAGTGGGGTCTGACTCCAGGCATACTGGAAACCTAAATGTCTTAACCTGTAAATATGATTGTCTGTGGATGTAATACAGTCCGGGTATCTTGGGCTAATGTCGGTCAGATTAACTTGCTTTCTTCATACTTGTCTGTGTGTGGCTTCTGGTCTCGTAGAGCTGCTGTAGGCTCCTGTCGGGCGTGCAGCCCCTACCCCCACAGTGCAGCCCCCCCATAGTGCACCCACAGTGCGTGTCCCCCAGTTTGTGTCCCCTAGTGTGTGCCCCACAGTGCGTGTGTCCCCGTGTGTGTCCCACAGTTTGTCCCCTAGTGCGTGTGTGCCCCACAGTGCATGTCCCCCAGTGCATGTGTCCCACAGTGTGTGTCCCACAGTTTGTGTGTCCTCTAGTGTGTGTGCCCTGTAGTGTGTGTCCCATAGTTTGTGCGTCCCCTAGTGTGTGTGCCCCACAGTGTGTGCCCCGCAGTGTGTGTCTGCAATGTGTGTCCCATAGTTTGTGCGTCCCCTAGTGTGTGTGCCCCACAGTGTGTGCCCCGCAGTGTGTGTCTGCAGTGTGTGTCCCGCAGCGTGTGTGTGTGTCTCGCAGCTCGTAAGGTGCCTGCTGTGCTGTGGGGTCGGGGGCTGCAGGACTCGCAGTGGGGGCGCGCTGTGGTCTTGTGAGCCGAGTGGAGAACCTGCACGTGGCACCAAGTGCTGTCTGGGTCTGGGGTTCCATGTTCTCGGAGCACCCAGAGGGTGACTGACCTTGCCTCCGACATCTCTCCTGAAACAGTTCGACTACGAGGCGCTTGCTGACAGACTGTTTGCGATGGCCAGCCGCCAGAGCACCCCTTCTCAGAATAGGAAGCGCCTCTACAAAGTCATCCGGAAGTGAGTGGCCGAGGACACTGTGTCCGTCCTGCTGCCCTGGGAGTGGCCTTCCCCTCAGATCCGGGTGCCTCCACCTTGCCCTGGGCCTTTCCACGGTCCCTGGAATGGCCCCCTCGAGGACCCCGAGGCCCTCCACAGCCCCTGGGGTTCCCCTGGCTAGGACCCTGCAAGCCCTCTGGGGACAGCTGCTTCCTCCTCCTCTGGAAGCCGCAGCCGTGGTGAGCGGGTGTCTGTCTTACTCTTTCAGGCTACAGGACCTGGCAGGAGGTGAGGACACACAGGCACTGACAGTGGCACCCCCTTGGAAGTGGAGCTCCGTCCTCACGGGCGTGGATGGTTCCAGGGGTCATGGCACGTGCAGTCTTTGCAGAGGCCCGGTGGTGTTTCTGAGGGACAGAGGCAGGGCTCAGGGCTCCACAGCTCTCTTCTGTCATTTTTGCTGAGAGGTTCTCAGACTTGAGCGTCCACTGGAGTCCCCCAGAGCCTGAGAGATGGGGTGCTGGTTGCAGGGGCTCCCAAGCACTGACCACGGGGTTGCCGCCGGTCCGTTATGCAGCAAGTGTCTGTCCTTGGCAGTGTGTGGCAGATGGAACTGGCACAGGTTATATATGGAAAGGACAGTTTCCTAGGGCCCTAATGGTTAGACATGTAAGCGTTTCCCCAGCGTTTTCTAATGAGACAGGTCGGACCTGCGGCAGAACTGCCGGGATTTTATGGTCCCCAGGCTCCAGCCTCCGCACTTCCCGCCCTTGTGTTAAGCTCCTCTATCTGTTGTCATGGCCCCTGCATCCACCAGCGAGCACGTCATGAGCTGTCGTCCAGGGTTTGTTTGTGTTTTGAGACAGTGTCTCGCTCCGTCGGCCGGGATGGAGCACAGTGGTATGATTTCAGCTCACGGCAGCAATCTCCTGGGCTCGAGCGATCCACCTTCCCCTCCAGTCGCTGGGCCACAGGCACACGCTGGTGTTTTGTAGAGACAGGGTTGGCTGTGCTGCCAGGCTGGTCGTCTAGGGTTTTAGGACAGCGTCTGTCAGTGAGGCGCGTGAGGATTGTGTGCACCTGGCGGTTGTGAGGCAGAAAGTCCCCTCGTGCCCCAGCGTGGGCATTTCTAGGCTGTAGACTTTGGTGCATGGATCGGGCGTCACTCTCTGGACCCCAAATCCAAAATGCTGCAGCGTCCACAGCTGAGTGCTGTGTGCTCGAGGGAAATGCTCGTTGGAACATTCTGGATTTGGGATTTTCAGATTAGGGATCTTGAGCTGGTGACTGTGATGCAGACATTCCAAAGTCCGAAACCATCTGATACTCAGAGCATTTCTGGCCCCAGGTGTTAGGGTCACGGAAACTGTCATCAGTGCTCTGGGAACTGGCGTTTCCTCTCGGACTTGGGTCTTAGCTGGTTCGGTGCAGCTATGGTGGTGGTCCCGATGCTGCCCCCGGCTGTTAGAGCAGGGCACCTTCTCACACGCTGGTGGGAGGTGGCGCTGGCTGGGACCTGCTGGAAGCATTGAGCCTCAGACCAAGAGCCCAAGGCCCCCAGAGCCCCCTGACTTCTGCCGTCCTTCTCAGGCGTCTTCCCCGAGGACGAGATTCCGGAGAAGGCTTGCAGGCGTCTGCTTGAAGGGAGGCGGCAGAAGAAGACAAAGCAGCAGAAGCGTCTGCTCAAGCTGCAGCTGCAGCATGGGAAGGGTAGGAAGGGTAGGCCCGGGGATGAGAAGGGTGGGGGAGGCAGGAAGGGGAGGCCCGGGGATGAGAAGCGTAGGGGAGGCAGGAAGGGGAGGCCCGGGGATGAGAAGCGTGGGGGAGGCACGAAGGGGAGGCCCGGGGATGAGAAGCGTAGGGGAGGCAGGAAGGGGAGGCCCGGGGATGAGAAGCGTGGGGGAGGCAGGAAGGGTAGGCCCGGGGATGAGAAGCGTAGGGGAGGCAGGAAGGGGAGGCCCGGGGATGAGAAGCGTGGGGGAGGCAGGAAGGGGAGGCCCGGGGATGAGAAGCGTGGGGGAGGCAGGAAGGGGAGGCCCGGGGATGAGAAGCGTGGGGGAGGCAGGAAGGGGAGGCCAGGGGGGCAGGAAGGGGAGGCCCGGGGAGGTGGGAAGGGTGGGGGGTGTGGAAAGGGTGGGGGGGCACGGGAAGGATAGGCCTGGGGTGTGTTGGCCATGAGGGTGTCATCTTCACCTGTTGTGCAGGGTCTCCCCCTGAAGCATGAGTGCCCAGTCCCCGTTCTGGGTGCCTCCTGTCCACATGTCCCAGAAATGCCCTGTCCTTGGCATCCCCCCACCCCGCCCTCCTCATCTGCAGCTCCTGCCAACTGTGTGTGCTGCCCTCCCTCCCAGCCTTGTTTAGATCTGACCCCGTCCACTCCTCCCCGCACCCTCCAGAGATTCCTGAGCCTCTCCATTTTGGTCCTTGATTTCAGGGGTTGTCTTGCCTCCCGGCCTCTGGTCACATGAGTATGGGTGGCATGTGACATCCTCACCAGGGGCAGCCCTGCACCTGCTGCAGACCACCCAAGGCCTGGAGCTGCCTGTCTGCAGTGGAGGGGCTGTGCACAGTGTCAGGCAGGGTATGGGGCCCGTGGCCAGAATGGGGCACACAGGAGGGAGATGGTGGCTCTTGTTACTTGCTCCATGCTAATGCGGCCCCAAGGCATGGGGATCCACCCCTTCCTGTTACTCCGTCTACTCATTTCCCATGGGGCGGTGGCCTCCTCTGCAGCCAGCCCTTGGCCTGGTGCCCCGCACCAGACACTATTTGCATGGCTCTCTGTGTGTAGCAAGTTGTGTTAACACTGTTGGCCCTGGCATTCAGGGCCTGGCACTGCTTGGCGTCTCCTTCTGCCTCCCCTTCTGCCCTGAGCCCAGTCCTGCCTGCTCCTCTGTGCCTTTGCTTCCAGGTCTTGTGACCCTGTCCTCACACTGGTCCTTCTGAGATCGGCCCTCGCCAGGGTCCTGGGCTGTGTGGTTGGAGCTTGGTGCACACACTGGACACGGGATGCGCCTTGCCAGCTGCTGTGGCCATGTTGTCCTTCCAGGTCGGCGGTGCTGGCATTCTCAGCCCGAGTTGGACTGAGTGAAAGGAGCTCATGGTGGCCTTCTCTGGCTCATGGGGCCTTGCTGTTTTTTCAGGGAAAGGTGAGAAGGAGCTCTCAAGCCCAGGTATGGAGAGGAAGAGGAGCAGGAGGCGGCGCGTGGGGGCCGACCCTGAGGTACGGGCAGAGGCTGCTGAGCAGCCAGGCACAGCTGAGCAGGCCTTGCTCCGAGAACGGCCCAGGGGCCGTGGCCAGAGAGGTGCTCGCCAGAGGAGGAGGGTGCCTCGTGCCCGAGCCAGAGCAAAGGTGACCAGCGTCCAGGAGCCGGAGAAGAAGAAACGCAGGGAATGACGTGGCCAGGCCTAGGGCAGGCAGGGAGAGAGGCCAGGCCATGCTGGCACCGAGGAACGAGGCTGACTGGGCCGTTCCACAGACTTGGGACCACGGCCCCGGAGCTCCTGTGCCAGGTGGATGCAAGGGCGGCACTGGAGAGGTGGGCCCGCCATTAGGAGCCGGCGTCCTGGGAGCCGCTCCTTTCCCGAGCCTCCCCCTGTGGCTGTGATGACCTTGGGTCAGAAGGTCAACTCTGAAGACTGAAAACTCCGCCTGCAGCAGGACTGGCGCCCCTGCCATGGGGGGTTCCGGAAATAAAAGCTGCTCAGCCCTTGCCCTGGAAATGTCGCTCCTGGTATGCCCTGCGGGCGTGTGGGAGGTGGCAGGTGCCGGCATCTGAGCAGTGCGGTCTTTTCTATTCGTGTTTGTGGAAAAATCTTGTAACACATTTCTCCTTTCATAGAGCGCCAAGCATTCACAGGGCTCTGGACCCTTTTGCACCCCCACCGTCGGGGGCTGGAGTTGTGCAGGGAATTCTGCTTCAGTGAGGCCGGCATTGCTGGGGTGAGCGCGTGTGGTGGGAAGGGCTGGCTCCTGTGAGCGCCTCGTCCTACGGCTTGGAGGCGGGAGCTCACCCACCGTCCTGGGTACCCGAGGGTCTGCAGGCTGTGCGCCTCCTCCCCTCAGCTGATCGCGTCATGCTCAGCGGCTGCCCTGCCCGTCTCCCCGAGGGTCTGAGGCAGCTGCAGCCTGCAGGAGCCTGTGAGGGAGGTGGCTGGTCCCTGACAGTAGCTCAGGGCTTTCTACCTGCAGCCTGCAGAGGAGACAAGGGGCTGCTGTGTTGGGTTTTTCCCCATCTTCTGTTCCATGGGTGCCCAGCCAGCCAGGCTGTGCAGGGTCCAGTGACAGGCCGGGGCTTGGAGTGGGCTTAGGACCGGGGAGGACCCCCAGGCCTTGGTTGGCATTGCGTAGACCCCAGACTGCACCCAGTTCCCCAAAGCCCTGCTGCATTTGAGTGTCCCCTGCCTCCATGGAGGTGGCAGCTGTTGACACCTTCAGTCCCACTGAGCCAGGCAGCTGGGGGCAGACTTGGGGGCAGTTGGGAGCCAAGGAGAAAGAAGGCCAGGGTCTGTGTTCTAGAGGTTAGGATTCTTTCCCCAAAGTGACTTAAAAAGACAAGCGTGGCCGGGCGTGGTGGCTCAGGCCTGTAATCCCAGCACTTTGGGAGGCCAAGGCAGGTGGATCACCTGGGGTCTGCAGTTGGAGAACCAGCCTGACATGGAGAAAAACCCCATCTCTACTAAAAATACGAAATCAGCTGGCTGTGGTGGCACATACTTGTAATCCCAGCTACTCGGGAGGCTGAGGCAGGAGAATCTCTTGAACCCGGGAGGCGGAGGTTGTGGTGAGCCACGATTGTGCCACTGCACTCCAGCCCGGGCAACAAAAGCGAAATTCATTTCAGAAAAAAAGACAAGTGTGTACAACATGAATCGCCAGTGAGGAGACTGGGGCCCGGGCCGCGCTCCATGGAACTGGCCTCGTCACCCGCAGCAGCGCCTGTCGGGAGGAGCTACTGCAGTTGGAGGCCTTTCGAAGGGAAGGGGGCACATTCTCTGGTTCACAGGGTCTTCCTGTTCTGTCAGGGAAAGGCGAGAAGGAGCCCCCAAGCCTGGGCATGGAGAGGAGGAGCAGGAGTGGGGGTGGGCTCCTAACACTGTTTTTGTTGAGGTTTCTTTGGTTGGAAACTAAGGAAACAACCATGCTAACAGAAGTTTCTGGAAAAAAGCAAATTAGTCATGTCTAATTGCAGTTCTGAAACCAGAAGCCACAGTGACTTCGGCTCTTCTCACATGCGTGTTCACGGGGAGGTTCACAGCTGCTGGCGGGTCAGGCTCCGGCCGTCTCCACTCCACGCTGGGTACACATTTCCCGTCTTCAGAATCGTTTTAAATAACCTCATTGTCTTATAACGTGAATGACTGAGTTCCTCTCCTATTGGTAGGCTCTGATTTATTTTTATTTTTTATTTTTATTTTTATTTTTTGAGATGGAGTCTTTTTCTGTCACCCAGGCTGGCTCACTGCACCCTCTGCCTCTTGGGTTCAAGCAGTTCTTCTGCCTCAGCCTCCTGAGCAGCTGGGACTACAGGCATGCACTACCATGCCCAGCTATCTTTTTTTTTGTATTTTTAGTAGACAGGGTTTCACCATGTTAGCCAGGCTGGTCTCAAACTCCTGATCTCGTGATCCATCCACGTTGGCCTCCCAGAAGGCTGGGACTACAGCCGTGATCCACCACGCCTGGCCTCTGACTTTTATTTTTTAAGAGACAGTGCTTGCCGTGTCACCCAGGCTGGAGTGCAGTGGTGCAATCACAGCTCACTGTAGCCTTGAACTCCTGGGCTCAGGCGATCTGCCGCAGCCTCCCAGGCAGCCAGGGCTGCGGGATGACAGGTGCCATCGCCACAGGCTGCAGGTTCTTCATCGAGGTCACTCTTGTTTTTCTTCGGCAATATTCCTGCTCCAGCTGGAAACACAGCAGTGAGAACCCTCCAGGAAAGTGGAAGCGGCTGCACCTCAGGCGCTTGGATGCGAAAGTCAGGGTCCTTTTGATTTTCCCACATAAACCGTAGTTCCAGCCACTCAGGAGGCCAGGCAGGAGACTCGCCTGAGCCCACAGCACTGAGGTAATTCACAGAGTGCAGCTGGGCCCGGCTGAAGTGTATATAATTGAGTTTTCAGCGTATTTAGAGTTGTGCGGCCATCACCACAGTCAACTTTAGACCGTTTTCAGCCCAAAAGAAACTGGGTATGCCTTGGCCGTCACCCCTCCGCCTCCCCGCCACCCCACTGATCTTCCCGGCCTCAGGTGGTCCCATTGTGGCCATGTTGTGTTAAGGGACACCTACACACGCACACACCCCTGCTGTCACCTACACACACCCGTGTGACGGGGTGTTTTGAGTCCGGCTGCTTTCACACAGCAGCGTGGTTCCAGGGCTCGTCCCCACTGTGGAGTCTTCCTCGTGGCTGATCCACAGCCCATGGTATAGAGGGAGCACATTTCATCTGCCCGTTTGTCCACTGGTGGGCATTCGGGATGTTTCCGCCTTGCTGCTGCATGTGGGTGAGTTTTCATGTGGACGGAGGCTTTCGTTCCCCTCGGGTAGGCAGCTGGGAGTGTTAAGCCAGGTTCAAGTGGTTCTCCTGCCTCAGCCAACCGGGTAGCTGGGATTGCAGGCACATGCCACCATGCCCAGCTACTGTTTGTATTTTTAGTAGAGACAGGTTTCATTCACCATGTTGGTCAGGCTGCTCTTGAACTCCTGACCTCAGGTGATCCACCCACCTTGGCCTCCCAAAGTGCTGGGATTACAGGTGTGAGCCATTGCGCCCAGCATCCTAACTTCTTACAAGACTCAGCCCTCTGACCTAATTTAATCCTAAGGACCTGCTTAGAAGCCCCATCTCCAGTCACACTGGGCGTTAGGGCTTCAACATGCACGTGGTGGGAGGGAAATGACACAGTCCTGTTGACAGCAGGGGTGTGAGTGTGTGTAGGTGACAGCAGGGGTGTGAGTGTGTGTAGGTGACAGCAGGGTGTGTGTAGGTGACCAGGGGTGTGCGTGTAGGTGATAGGGGTGTGTGTAGGTGACAGCAGGGGTGTGAGTGTGTAGGTGATAGCGGTGTGTGTATAGGTGACAGCAGGGGTGTTTGTCTAGGTGACAGCAGGGGTGAGTGTGTAGGTGACACCAGGGGTGAGTGTGTAGGTGACAGCAGGGGTGTGAATGTAGGTGACAGCAGGGGTGTGTGTGTAGGTGACAGCAGGGGTGTGTGCGTGTGTAGGTGACAGCAGGGGTGTGTGTGTGTTTGGAGTGTGCCTTGACAGCAGGTGTGTGTGTGCACAGTGTGCCTTATTTATCATGAGGAGCCGCCTCAGGATGGGCTGGCAGTTCGGAGTTCTGCAGGGTAGGTGGCCGGCTGGAGACTCCAGGAAGGTCCTCCGGCGAGGGGAGCTTGGCCTTTTAAGGCCTCCACCTGGTGGAATGGCCGAGGCCCCTCACTGGAGGCCCCCTCACTGGAGGCCCACCTGCTTTACTCAGGCCGCAAATTCAAATCAGCCTCATCCTGGAAACACCCTCAGGCACTCGGCCCAGAGCTGGGACCGGGGACTGCTGCACCGGAGGTCCCTCGCTGTCTATGTGCTGCCTGTGACCGCCCAACTCGGGTTAGGAGTTTGCCTCCAGTTGTAACGGACACCCCAGGGGTATTTTACACACAGGTTCCCTTCTGTGTTCGAACCTCCCTTTCCTGAAAGAATTCTGGCTTCCTTTACTCCCAATACCCAGTTCATGCAGAAGTGAGGCTGGGTGTGGGAGCCCTCCTCACCCTCATCTCTGCCACCCCCGAGGGAACCCTCCTGCCTCGTCACCTTTCACACGGGGGCTCTGACACCAGGACACCTGCCCCTCACCCAGCCTGGGCCTCCATGGCCCCCACGCGCATGGTGCAGCTCTGGTCTTGTTGGCCCCATCTGTCTGTGGCTCATGAGGGAACTTGAGGGAACCTGGCAGTGCCTTGTGAGCGGGAGTCTCCTGGATGCTCCTCTTCCAAGGTCACAGGCAGGGCCTGGCAAGTGGCAGTGCCCCACCTCCCCATTTGAAACCCACAAGGAGGAAGAGAGACTTGTGGCCATCCCGAGAGCCGTGGCCACGTGAGCACGACGCTCCACGCTGGGTGTGGGTGAGGGTCTTCCAGGGACCCTGAGCTGTGTTAGGAGCAACTTGGAGATGTAATTCAGGCAGCGTTCAGTTCCCCGTTGTCGGTGCAGAATCGGGCAGCTGTGTGTGCGGCACAGTTCATTTAGAACACCTCAGCGCTCCGGACAGCAAGTCCCTACGCAGGGCCCCTTTACTTGGAGATGATCCGGGAGGGGGCTTGGACTCGAAGGTGCTGAGGCGGGTGCGCATTTACCACTTCCTCGGGCAGCTCGATGGTCTAGGGCAAACGTGTCCTCGCTGACTTCAGAACTTCAGCCACAAACCCACACCACAGCTTCACAGTTGTCACAGGCTCTGCTCGGAGGTGACATTCTGGGGACTGAGCAGCAGCTCTGGAGTTAGACCTGGAGGGGCCATGCCCAGGCTGCCCTGCTTTACCTGCCGGCATCAGTACCGATAGATGGAGACCCGGCTGCAGTCCTGCCAGCCCATGTGCCTCACATGCCAAAGGCTCAGCCCAGGCATCCTAGGTCGCCAGAGGTGCCCATTTTCCTGCCTGGCATGGCTGAGCAGGGCCACGAAACAGCCTTGGACCCCAAGACCTCTCCCTCAGCCAGAATGTTCTCTGCATGAGCTTCTCACTCTCAACTATGGTTGTGACCTAGAACTTCTCCCAGTAGGCCCTGTGGGAAG